GTAGGGAACATAGGCAGGGAGGAGGGCAAGATATATTTTTAAAGGTAGTGACAAGTGAATATTCTCTGATTTTCTCTCATCTGAAAATGTTTCAAGAAACACAAAGATGAATACTTTTTTAAAGCCACCCAGTGCTCTGTGCAAAAATGATAACAAATTAAAACATTCTATTGGAAAAGTGGAATAAAGAACAAATAGTTGATAATGTTAATGGTGAGGAAAAGTCTAGGTTATTGGGATTTGGGGAGGAGGACTTCAATCTGATACTATCTGACTGAAGATAGTCTCAAATCACACAGGTTTAGGATTCAACCCCCAAAACTATCCCCTCTTTCAGACACCCCTTGCATGTCCAGGACTCCAAATCTTCTGATAGACCAGCCTCAAGTTGGAGTTCCATGACCTCCTCTGTATATTTGATTCATTTCCCAGACCAGCTCACAAAGCTCAGGAAAATACTTATTATATTCACTGATTTATCACAAAGGATATCTTGAAAGATATAAACAAAAATCCAGGTCAGGAGATACATAAGGCAAGGTATGGGGAAGAAGGGGTGCATAGATTCAAGCCCTTGATAGGCTCCCCACTTCCAGGAACCACCACCTGTTCAGCTATCTAGAAGTTCTCCAAACCCTGTCCTTTGGGGTTTTTATAGAAGCTTCATTTATAAGCATAATTAGTTTATCTATATAAGTTATTTACAATCCAATTAACCTTCAGCCCCTCCCTGCTACCCAAAGGCTGGGAATGGGACTGAAAATTCCATCCCTGGAAACAAATGGCAGGTTTCCCTGGCAACCAGCCTCCCACCCAGTGGTTTCTGGCAGTTTTATAAAAACTGCCTTATTAACATAAGCTCAGAAGTGTTTGATAGGCTAATTATAAATAACAAAAGACTGCCTTTCACCTTTACCATTCAGGAAATACTTCAGGAACCAAGAAAGAAAGGGTAAATATTTTAACAAAAAAATACTGTTATTGGTATAGACATTTAGCAAATAACAAAGTCTACAGGAGCTGAGAGCCAGGAATCATGCATAGAAAAACAAAATATATCTATCATAATATCACAGAAATTGTAAGGCACTTACATTTATACTTCTAAAGGAAAACCAAAAGTATTTATCTCTTTTAGACAATAAGTAGGTCATTTATTATTTTCATTATAACAAATCATTTAGGAAACAATGGCATGTGAACTCTTCTAAGAGTTGCCAAATCCCATCTCATAGGCTTTATCGTTAAACTCCAATATCCAGATAACAGGACACAAAACAGAGTGATCCACTTTCACAAATCCTCAACCCTAAAAAAAAAAAAAAAAGAAAGAAAGAAAAGGAGGAGAAATAGGTGTGTGGTGAGTCTTTGTCACTCACTAATTTTTTGCCCACACTTCCTTGTGGAAACATATTCATTTTTCTGCAACCAAAATGGAACAAATATTTGTTTCTATTTCAATTCCTGGCTATACTTGCCAAAAGAAAGCCCTGAAATTCTATTAAAAATCACTCACAGGCCGGGTGTGGTGGCTCACACCTGTAATCCTAGAACTCTGAGGCGGGTGGATTGCTTGAGGTCAAGAGTTTGAAACCAGCCTGAGCAAGAGTGAGATCAGTCTCTACTATAAATAGAAAGAAATTAAGTGGCCAACTAATATATATAGAAAAATTAGCCGGACATAGTGGTGCATGCCTTTAGTCCCAGCTGCTAGGGAGGCTGAGGCAGGAGGATTGCTTGAGCCCAGGAGTTGGAGGTGCTGTGAGCTAGGCTGAGGCCATGGCACTCACTCTAGCCTGGGCAACAAAGTGAGACTCTGTCTCAAAAAAAAAAATCACTAGCAAAAATGCAACAGACCTGGGAGACCTACTACACTCACTCTGGGAAAGAAAACAGGTACATAATAAGTTTTAAAAATACAATATATAAATAGAGTTTTTCTGAAATCTACTTTTATATGACTCCTTTTTATGATGACATAAAGACTACACAACTATAACCACTGAATTATTGAATTTGGTTTGCTGTCTCCTGGACTTTTTGAAAGTCTTTGATTTAAGCCCTCCTGATGGACCTCAAAAACAAACCATAGATGACTGCTCTCAGAACCATAAATCGCAGTTTGCTTTAATAAATTCTGTCACCTTTTTAAGCGGTGCCTTAGTTTAATTTTTAACATGAGAGTGGAGTGGTGGGGACCCCAGGGGCTACAGATCCTCCCACGCATGAACCCTGCAGCCCAGCTTAAATTCCTCCCTGATGACCCTGTAGTCACCCCACAATGTAGTGGAGACGCAGGGCTGCATCACAGAACTACCCAGATGACTCCCACTGGGCCACAGATGCCTGGGAGGATGAGACAGGGCGCTCCTGGTTCCAGCTGCGGCCCAACCCCGCTCTAAGCCGCAGGGGACTGAGGGCCGAGCCGGCATGACGAGTCTCTTGTCTGCAGACTCCGGGTCTGGCGGGAAGCCGGGGTCCTGCCACAGGCAGTTCCGCGGGGTTTCAAATCCCCTGGCACAGCCGGCCAGCACAGTCACCATTTTCCAACTTCCGTGGTGCCCTGGGATCCTTCTTGCAGATGTTTCAGAACCCGCAGTTCAGAGGGTGACAAAGGCTGAGGGTTACCTGAGTTCTCCAAAGCAAAGAAGAAGGAGCACCAAAGACAAAAAGGAGCGTGGAGGACAGGCAGGAGACAAAGGACCCTCCCCTTCCCCCGGCAGGTCCCGGAAGTCCCGCCCTCCCACTGCGTGCCTGATTAGAGAGTTCCCGTTCCAGGATTTCTGATTGGCTCAGGCTCTAGGCCACACCCCTTAGAGCCCTGATTGGCATATAATGGGATCCACCTACTAATGGCGGCAACCAGGGCTTTCTGTCTGCTCTGGGACCTGTTGGTACCTGCAGCACATTTGCATTTAACCTTGTATGTAGGTTATATCCAAGCCAGGCATGGTGGCTCACGCCCGTAACCATAGCACTCATCTCAGGAGTTCAAGACCACACTGAGCAAGTGGGAGACCCTTGTCTCTACTAAAAAAATAAAAATAAATTAGCCAAACAACTAAAAATAAAAAAAATTTAGCCAGGCATGGTGACGCACACATATAGTCCCAGCTAATGGGGAGGCTGAGGCAGGAGGATCGCTTGACCCCAGGAGTTGGAGGTTGCTGTGAGCCAGGCTGATGCCAGAGCAATCTAGACCCAGGTGACAGAGAAAGACTTTGCCCCCCCCCAAAAAAGGTTATATCCTATTATGAATAATGTATTTTGTATTCCAAATTGGAATCTGTATGATGACAAACATTTTAAAATTTCAGATTCAGTAAAGGTTGCATTTTTTTATTTCTTAACTTTTCTTATGCACTTTGGTAGGTTTGGGAATTTTCTGCTGTCCTAATCTGTTTGTCTACTATCCTCAATACCACACTGCTTACTATGAATCATTTTAATGTGTTTTATACTTATGGGTCAAAAATCCTTTCATTTGTGTTTTCCTCAGGATTTTGGCTCTCTGTTTGTTTTTTCCATGGCAATTAAAATTGCTTGGCTTTAAAATGTTATTTTTATATTATGGAGTAAATGTTGAAGCTTAGCTTAAGGATAAGACGTCTTTATATTATTATTTTGTTTGTTGTAACCAGTGGATCAAGGTGACTTGGACACCAGAATCCAATCAGCCAAATTAGTTTATTGATACCTGCACAGGGGCTGTCACCACTCCATGCAAGGAGGGAGAAGCAGCCATGAACAAAGCCTTTGTGGTTTCTTATCCTTAGGGCTGGCAGCTATGCAAAGGGAGCAATCACAGAAGCAGAACTTTGTGGTAGTACGTTAATGAAGAGAACAATGGAAAGGTACATTGAGGACAAGGAACTTTTCCTGGGCAAAGAACTTTTCCGAACAGGACCCATCTATTCTTTTTGGGAACAGGCCTCCTTGACTCCCTTCTCCTCTGGGAACTTCCTCCAGGAACTTTAACTAATAGTTAGAGCAAGACTGATTCCATTTTAGATTTACAAGAGCCATCTTTTGTCTATCTACTTTATTCTCCACTGGTCTTACTAGCTAATCAATTCTGATCTACGATGTGATCGTGTCAGGTATGTTTGTTATTGGTGCTTAAGACAACAGCTTGACTGCTTGCACCTGGTTTTGCCAAAATGCACATGATAGGGTTAATTATGAGGGAGCCACAATAAGCCTAGAAAAAAGGAAGAGAATTAAGGGCTGCTGAGGCAGATACCTAGGTTGTTGGGAAAAAAACGTGAAGTCTGACTGAATTTTAATATTGTTTTTGGCGTCAGCGTTTTTCCAGGGGGCTATAGTTTCACAACCCCAGTGCTTACAGTAGTAATATGTGGCTCCTCCACAGCCTATAGCATTGGCTGGGCGTGCGTAGACCTGTATATTGTTTAGATTGTGATCTTTGCAATGTGATGCCTGCACCAGTGGCCTCACCCCATAGCCTCCCCTGAAAGATTTCCACCACCGTACTTGGTTAGGGAGGTTTGGGCCCTTGAAGGCACACAGATCAACTATAAAGAAGGGTTGCTGATTGGTAGCGTTTGTCCAGGCAATCTCCTGTCCATCCTCCATGCTCAACAAAATCCAGGTATATGGGGGCATGTAGTGGGATGTGCCCCAAGTCTGACTGGTCCAACCCAGGGGAGTTGCTGCTAGGAGCAAGAGGAGGACTGTGGAGAGTGTTGGGACAAACATACCTTTAGGGGGGTCACCTGTGTGTTCTATTTTCCATGTTTTTGGTATCTAGCTATCTTGGGCCCTTTTTACTTGCGTATAGTGGACCCAGGTCTTTTTTTCCCCACAACCTTGACAGCTGTGGGAGTAGTGAGGATCACAGGGTATGGTCTGTCCCACCGAGCTTTGAGGGAGTCTAGGTTGTGTCTCTTAATCCACACCCAATCACTGGGCTCCAAATGGTGAAGCGGATCCAGACCAGGAGGGAGAGGCCTTGTGTCCTGCTGGGCCCAGACAGCTTTTTGGAGTTCTGATCGGAGATGCTGGAAGGCCTGTAAAGAGCTAATAAGGTTATGGTTACTTATGGAGGCCAGTGCCTCTTGCCTTAATTTTGGCAATATTGGCAGGGGAACTAGGTACATGATTTTAAAGGGGGTGAATCCCGCCCTGTAGGGAGTACAGCGGGTTCGCAGTAAGGCAAAGAGGAGTAGGCTAACCCAATTTTTGCCAATCTCTAAATGCAATTTGTTCAAAGTTTTTTTTTTTTTATGGTCCTATTTATTCTTTTAACCTGCCAGGAACTCTGAGTCCTATATGCACAATGCAACTTTTAAGTAATTTTTAATGCCTTGGCTACTGTTTTGGAGATCTGGGTAGTAAACACCAGGCCATTGTTGGACCCCAATGCTAGAGGGAGGCTGAATCAGGGGATTATCTCAGTGAGTAGGAACTTAGCCACTACCTGTGCTGTTTTCTTTTTAGTAGGTAAAGCTTCAGTCCAGCCTGAAAAAGTATCCACTAATATAAGGAGGTACCTGTACCCATACTTTCCTGGTTTTATTTTAGTGAACTCGAGCTCCCATTGTTTCCAGGGCTTTGTCCCCTTTGGCGTTGTCCAATGTATTGGGGGGTCTTAGTTTTATTTACTTTTACACAGGTTACACAATGACTAGCAATGTCCTTTGTTATCCCAGCCAGATTTGTGAGAATAAAATGCCTGGACACAAGCTGCTGAAGTTTTGAGCTCCTAGGTGAGATCCCTGATGAAGGTGTTTCAAAAGCTCCTGCTCTACTGCCCTGAGGGGTAATATTCTGCCAGCTGGAGTCTTTAGCCATCCATTTTCTCCTTGGACACAATTCATCTCAGCCCCTACCCTTTGCTTCTTGTGGGAGTAAGTTGGTTTGGGGGGCAGGATTCTTTCAGGCAAGACAGGCAAAACATCGATAGGCCCTACTGGTCTTTGGGCCGCTTTCTTGGCACTCTGGTCAGCAAACGTATTGCCCTTAGTTATGTCTGATTTATCTTTTTGGTGGCCCCAGCAATAGACAATTGCTACTGCTTTGGGAAGCCCAATGGCCTCTAACAGGGCCAGGATTTTTGCTTTTTTTAAATTTATTTTCCTCCTGAGGTTAGGAGTCCCCATACCTGGTACAGAGCCCTGTGTTCATGTGCTGTTGTGAATGCATACAAGCTGTCTGTTTAGATATTGACAGTCTTTCCTTTGGCCAGCCTTAAAGCCTGGGCCACAGCTAGTAGCTCTGCCCTTTGAGCTGAGGTGCTATGCCCTAATGCCTGTGCCCACAGTATCTCAATCATGGTGGTGACCGCTGCTCTCACCACTGGCACTCCATCCTGGATGAAACTGCTCCCATCTGTGAAGAGTTGCATATCAGCATTTGGCAAGGGCTGATCTTGGAGGTCCCGCCTTAGGCTAGATAAGGCTTCTAGAACCTGTTTACATTCATGCACTGGCAAGGTGAGGTCATCA